CCCTCCCTTCCTTCCTTCCTTCCTTTCCTCCCTCCCTCCCCTCCTCCCCTCCTCCCCTCCTCCCCTCCTCCCCTCCTCCCTCCTCCCTTCCTTCCATTTAATTTGTATAAGCGCCCTAGAGCTCTGTTTCGGAAAATTCTAAGCTGGGAGCTGAGGAGACCTTAGGGGGCTGTGGTACTGAGCTGGGTGACCTTTAGCAAGTCCATCACGTCTCTCCCCACCTCCCCCCCACCGCCGTACACACCCAGCTGTCCCTGCTCATAAAAGGGCACAGGAAGCCCTGGGCTCTGAGAGGTTGTGAAGATGGATGAGTGGGGCCCGGCTTGGAGAGATGTGACTAGTACTCCACACTGACAATATCACAGAATCCTGAACATGGGCACTGTGGCCACGAGCACTTGGGGACTCAGCTCTCACTCCGGTCACCGGCTGGGCACTGTCACCCTGCCCTTGAAAGACTTCGGTAGCCCCTCCCATCCCCAGTGCCGTTGGAGACATGGTGGAAAAGGACCTATCTTCTTTATGGTTTTGGTTGCTGTATCTCAGGGTACCATGGTGATGAGCACCATAGAGATGAGAAGAACTGACTTTTATTGGCTTGTCTCTTTGTTCCAGTGGCCCTCCTCAACCCCCTCCACACACACACAGCTCCCGGGTCAGTAGATCCAGGAGAGGAGGCAGTGCAAGTAAGTGGAACAGATGAAAGGAGAAAAGCCTACTCTCTTCCCTCCCTCTCAATCACCCCCCTCTCCCTTCTTCCCTCCTCCCTCCCATTACCAACAGCAATTGTATTCAAACCCAATAATTACAGTAACAGCGACAATAATCACCATTTATTGGGTTTTTCTAGCATTTTAACTTCCGAAAACATTTTCCAGTCTCTGGTTTGTTTTCACAGCAGGCCCTGGGGGAGGACTGTGCCCATTTTATAGCTGGGGAAGCTGAGATCCAGATAGGGCCCCAAGTCATGGGGAGAGTATATTTACAGCAGCTTGTAAATATTAACAAACCAACTGAGATTAGTAGTCCTTCAGAGGCACTGAACTGCAAATCTTGGTTTCTTGGGTCATTCCTGAGTTCTTACCATCCTTGGGACTCATTCAGTAGCTTTTTTGAGGATCCTGGCAGAATTGAGAATGAGGCTGGAGACAGCCTGTGGCCCAGGTCAGGGACAGGAGGCTGGGATAGGGACTTCCCCCCTCTCAGGATCGTTCCCATGGATGGGGCTGTGGGGTGGAAAGTGGGCAAACATCTGGGGAGAGCCTGCCCTGGAAAAGGCCTGTTTGGCCCAAACCTCCCTTGCCTCTATCCTGCCCCTCTGCCAGCCCTAGAAAAGGCTCCTCTCTGGGTCAGCTCTTCCCAAGGGCAGGGTCCTCTCCTGAGCATTTAGAGGCGTGAGGAATAAAGATAGATCAGAAGGACAGTCTTTGTCCTCAGGAAGCACCCACGCTGAGGGCTGGTCTCTAGCCCCCAAACCATACCCAGGAGCAGAGATATCCCTATGAGGAGCTCAGAGGATGTCCCAGGATCCAATTCTTCTGGGAAGTCTGGCTTTCCCCTCAAGGATGGGTAAGACATTGGGGTTCCCTAAGGTCTCTATAGCCCTTAGTGTCTGGGCTGAGCGGCTGTCTGGGCTCCAGTACCCAAGGCAAGGCGATCCGGAGGCTCAGGATGCCCACTAGGATCCAGATGGATGAGAGAAGGGGAGGGCAATCATGAATTTCCCTGCCTCCTTCTGCTCTGTCCCATTAAGAGATGTAGGAGGAGGAAACTGAACAGATTTGCTCCCCAGATTCTTTCTGTCTAGAAATATAACACCAGGGATAGGGACTGGCATTCCCTATCCACGCTGTTAGGACAGGGGCCTAACATCCCCATCCTTCCTGCCCTCAACCCCCCCCCCCGGCCCCCCCCCCCATAAAACCTGAAGTCTGGTTGTTCAAGGCCAGCTACCCACCTAGAGGGCTCCTCTCAGAAGCCCAAAGGTGAGGGCCAAGTTCTACACCATCTGACACGCGTTCCCTGTTTCAGTATCCCCTGAACTGGACCGGGATTCTCTCTTCTTGGGCTCCTTTTCTGCCACTTTCTCCATTTCTTCTGTACCCATGAGGATGGCCAGTCGCTGGGCCATGGTCTTGGTGTCAGGGAACAGGATAAAGTTGTAGATGAGCGAAGCCAGGACAGCTCCTGTCAGGGGTCCTACCCAGAAGATCTGAGGGGGCAGAGAGAAGTGGGCATGAGTTATCAGGATCATAGGGTAGCTTTGGGACCCTCGCCTGGTTCCTTAGTATTAACTTGGTCTCCCAGGACCCCTTGATCTGTCTACACGATGACAAAATGGAGAAGCAGGCATCCTGCCCGCCAAGTCTCTGCAGGTGAGGTGACCTTGCCTTGCACGGGGCAGGCCTAGTCTCCTCACCCCTCCTGTTTCCCTCCTCTCAACTCCCCTGTTCCAACCAGGAGCCCTGGCTAAGTGCTGTTCCTGCTTCAGCTGGTGTGTGTGTGTGTCTATTTCTGTTTGTCTTTTTTCTTTATCCAAGTTTGGAAACTGGTCCAGCTGGAGGAAGTGAATAAGGAAACAGCCAGGACTTGAGGCCTGGGCTGAGGCTGCATCTCCCGCTCTGGCCCATTTATCAACAGTCGACTGGGTCCCCTTGGCTACTGAAGCTGGAAAGAAAGGAAGTACAAGCCAGGATATTTGCCTTCATCTGAGCTTAGGGAAACCTCCCCTGGGGGTCAAGATGGTCCGTGGTAGGGGGACCTGTCTCCCCACGTCCCTGTGGACCCCCTGCTGGTGAAAGCCACTGTCCCTAAGGGCCCCTGCCCAGCCCCTCCCCTCCCCACCCCACGGCGGCCAGCAGAGGCTCTCACCCAGTGGACCTCGAACTTCCCAACGACGATGGCAGGGCCGAAGGAGCGGGCCGGGTTCATGGAGCAGCCGGTGAAAGTAGACCTGGCGGGGGAGAGTGCAGGTTCAGGGTGTGAGGAAGCTTAGGGCAGGCCCAGGAGGGGACAGCCCCCTCTGCCCTGGCTTAGAGCCTTGGTCCCAGCCTTGGCCACTGCGGCGCCATATCCCAGGCCTGGACTGTGGGAACACAGCCTCCACCCAATGCATGAGGGGCTCAGGGAGGGACCCTTCCTGGCCTTCAGGGTCCCTGCAGCCTCCTCAGGGAGGGACCAGTGTGTGCATGTACACGGTGTCCCCTTGGCCTCTTACCCCAATGAGGTGGCCCAGTGCCAGAGAGATCCCCATCATGGTGGCTGGGGAGCCCGATGCCTGGCGGCTGTCAGTGGAAACGAAAACAGAGTACCAGCCGCAGGGTCAGAACCAACTCCACTGCCACAGCCTGGCCCGTCGAGACGCTGCTCCGGACCTGGGTGCGGAGGCTATGCTGGAGGTGACACGGCTGTGCCATCGGGTGGTGACCCGCTCGGGCCTCATTTCCTCACCGTAAGGAGGTGATGCCTCACCACCCCAGTTCCAGGCCCCGGGGAGATGGAGCAGGGAGAGCTGTGCAGTGCAGTTCGGGTCAGCCCTGGACACCCGCTCCCTGCGGAAGGGAGTGGCCGCCCTCCCAGCCCCCCCAGGGAGCTGCAGCCAGTAGTTGGCGAAGGGCTCAGTTCTGTTGGGGAAGGGAAGGCTCGGAGCAGGGGGATGCAGGTTTTTGGGCAGACTGGGAGGAGACGGGGGTGGGGGGGGAAGTAGGTGGAAGGATAGATGATTAGGGGAATCTGGGGGAGTGAGACAGGCCTCAGGGTGCTGGGGAAGGAGGAACATGGGGACACAGAGAAGCAGGGCACACGGGGTGGACCGGAAGAGAAGAAGGGCATGCCGGGTCCCCTGCCACTACCCGCAGCCCGAGGCATCCCTGGCTACCCTGACCCTTCAATGCCCGGTCCTTTCCTAACTCCTACCCTTGTGCCACTTTGTACCATAACCCCATTCCTGCTCTTCCTGCGCTAAGGCCACGGTCTGGTTCCCCCGGGTCCCAGGACGCAGCCCAGAGCAGGCAAGGAGCACGGGGCTGAGTTATTTCCTCCCTGTCGCCTCTCCTCAGGCCTGGCCGTCCACCCTTACCACCCAGGTGGACGTCCCTTTCCTGGCCCTGCCATGTGCCCCTCCCTGCACCTACCATGTTAACCCCGAGGGTCTCTCGGATGTCTCCTGGGACGACCCCATAAAGCAGAGCAGCCGCCACAGTGGCCCTGGCCAGCTGGGCAGCCACATAGGCCACGGCAGGGGGCAGGGAGATTTGGGAGCCCACTAGGAAGGCCAGAGTCACGGCGGGGTTGATGTGGCCCCTGCTGGTCTTCCCAGGTGATCTGCACAGCGACCGCCGTGGCCAGGTTGAAGCTGATGGCGATCTGCAGCACGGTGGGAAGCGCCGAGGGCCAGGGCAGGGCTGAGCCCACGCCGAAGAACACGTACAGCCCTGTGGCCAGGACCTCGGGCAAACAGCGCCCTGCTGGCAGCTCTCCACAGCATCCTGGCCCAGCGTCACCCACCGGGCTACCCTGGGTCCGGGCCTGGCTGCCTTGGCAGCTGCCTTTACTTCTCCTGGGACCTCTGATCTCGGCTGTCTCCGGGGGTCTCTTGTCTCTGGCCTGCTCCTCTCCTTCGCTGCTGACCCAGGGGCCTGCTGGTCAGACTGGCAGGAGCAGGCTGACAGGCTTGTGTGCGTCTGGGGGGGTGGGAGGCGTGAGGCCTGTATGAGGGCTGGTGCTCCCCTGCTTGCTCCGCCCGGAGCACAGCTGGGACAGGGGGCAGCCCCTGGGCGCTGAGCTGGAACCCAAGCTGGTTCCCAAGCCCGACAGCCCTAACGTTGCTGCGGGCAGAGGCCCAGCCTGAGCGTAGCAGGTGCAGGCGTAGTGGTGGGCGTGGGCTTCCAGCTTAGATGCAGTGAGCTCCTCAGATCCCCAAGTCCAAGGCCTGCTTCCAAGGGTCCCATGCATTCCCAGAGGCTCCTATTCCCCTGGCCCCCTCTGCCTGCAGGCTCTGCCTCCAAATGGGCTCACGCTATTCGATGCCCCATAAACCCAGATGTGAAATGAAGCTCTTTCCTCCATTCCCACCTAAATCCCTATTCACAGAAAGCAGATGTGAACAGAGTCAAATTTTCTAAGGACCTGGGTCTGTGTGGGTGCAGGGGGGACAGAGGGAGGAGGGGCTTATTCCACAGCTGATCAGATGACACACACGGCAGTGGAGAATTTCCCCTGTGAGCTGGGAATTTCCACTGGCTTGTCCTTGCCCCGTCCTGTCTCCCCTGCCTGCCCCCTCCCTCACAACCCTCTCCCCTCCACACCCCGCTCTCCTCCTTCTCAGGGGCCGGAACAATTCCTCTCAAGTCTCACACAGGGCAGCCGAGCCATTTTTGTGACAATGCCAGCCCTGAGGTCACCCAGGCCCTAGGCTCTGCCCTTTTAACCCCAGCAGCATATCGAGATATTTTCCCAAACAAAGGGATTTCCTCCCTAAGAAGAATCTGTGGAGCTGTTGAAGTAAGTCTTCACTCTTCACCACATGGGGGGGGGGGGGCCCTGACCTCACCCCTGGCCATAACTTCCTGCTCAGTGGGTATGCCCTGGTTGTCTTCAGGCTCCTCAAATGCAACCTGTCTCAAAATGAGATCCTCATCTCTCTCTGTGCCCCCCACCCCCCATGCACTCTTCCTGTTTTCTCCAGCTCAGTTGGTAGCACCTGGGAAGCATCCTTGAACCCTCTCTCCCTTCTGCCCCCAACCAATAAAGGCATCAAGTCTGGCTGATTTGGAATCCTAAATATTTCTTGACTGTGCCCTCTTCTTGCCACCCTGCTGCCCTGTGGCCTTGAATGAGTCTCTCTGTCTGCTTCCTCACTCAGCTCCAATCAATTATCCACACTGCAGCCTGAGAGATCTTTCTAAAATGCAAATCTGATCCTGCTGCTCCTTTGCTAAAATCCCTTCAAAGTGTCCTCATGCCAGGCCTACAAGGTCCTCGGGGATCCTGCTCCTCCTACCTCACCTCTCTCCCCACTCCTTGCTTTGTCCTGTGGCCTCACCAAATGACCGGTGGTTCTGCAACACGTTATGCTGGTCACTCCTTGGAGAACGCTCTGTCCTCTCCTTGGATAGCCTTTCCCACGTCTTTTTCTTGGGTAACTCCTAACTCATCCCTAAGGCTCAGCTTCAGGGTCATCTCCTCCTTTGCTGGGTGATGACCCCTCCGTGTGCTCCCACCCCATCTGGGCACTTCTGTACACTTCAGTCACCACAGAGTGCTGTCATGGTGATAATGTGTCTCCTTAATGGGCAGTGAGCCCCTCGGGGGGCCGGAACCAAATTTTGCTCATCCCTACATCTAGTGTCTTGCACAGGGATTGGCCATAGTTGGTGCTTGATAAATATATTTTTTAAAGATTTTATTTATTTGACAGAGACAGCGCACATGCAGGGGGCGCGGCAGGCAGAGGGAGAGGGAGAAGCAGGCTCCCCGCTGAGCAAAAAGCCTGTATGGGGCTCAATCCCAGGACCCTGGGATCATAACCTGAGCCAAAGGCAGACGCTTAACCTACTGAGCCACCCGGGTGCCTCGTGCTCAATAAATACTTATTGATGAAAGAATGAATGAATAAAAGCTGCTTGACCTCCTGGAGGCAGGTGACTTTCATATCTACTTCATTCCAGCCAGCCTTATACCCATCCCACCTAGGTCTGAGCTCTCTGAAATCTTCAAGTGGAATAGCCCAGCTCTGGTTACAGGCTCTGTCCATGCACCCTCTTCCATTCCCTTTCCTGGCCTCACCCTCCCCTCCCCCAGCCAGATCCCCTGGCATCAGTGCCTCCCCTGTCCTGCACGCCCACCCCTTTTCTCCACCCCGGCCCCTGCATGTCTCCGTTCCTTTCTCCTCCACCGCCCTCTGGCCCCATCCGGATCTGCGCCACTGAGCGCCGCTAGAACAACTCGCCCAGCATGCAGGCTTCTGCCACGAAGAGTCCACGGTCTCTGGCTTCAGCGGGGGTCACGGCTCTGCTCAGCCATCCTTACACCGTCCTCAGTCAGCTCTCTCTCTCCCCATTCTTCTAAGGCCGACTTCCAACCTTGTCCATGCTCTCCAAGTGCCCTACTCCAGCTTTCTTCCAGCAGCTCAGCTTGCCCCCTGTCCTACCTAGAAAGAGAAACTAGCAGGTAAGACTTCTTCCCACCCTTCTTCCCCAGGCACAAACTCACCTGCTGCTGCTCCATGCCCTCACCAGCTTCCCTCTGGCCCTGAAGAAGAGGCAGCCCTTCTCCTGTCCAGTCAGGGGCCCCTCCTTGTGCTCCTGGCTCCTCCCTTTGAGTGACTGGGATCCTCTCTGGGCTGGTCCCAGTCTCATCTGGGGTTTTTCACTTCTCCCTCTCAAGGCCGAGACTTGATAATGGGGCCTGGGTAATCCCAGAGTAGTGGAGAGACCGCGGGTTTGAGGAAGCCTTTCCTCTTTGTCTCTCTTTCAAGACTTTGCTCAGGTCCAGTTCCTCTATGAAGGCCGCCCTGATTCTCCTCTCCAGCCAGTGGCTACTTCTGGCTTTGACCTCCTCAGGGCCTCCCCTGTTCCAGTGGAGACCCATGCTTGCCTGGTCTCAAAGAGGCTTTCAATAAATGCTCGAGGAATGAAGGAATGTGGTCACGGGGGCAAGTGTGGGTGACCCTCCTCCCTGGCATGGTGGGCTGTCCCAGGGAACCTCAGGGCATCTCTCTCCTTCCCTTCCTGCAGACAGGGCCGCAGAGGGCTTCCCTACACCCTACCTAGCCTTGGTGAGGTGCACCTGTACGCCAAGCACCCAGCCCCACTAATGCCTAGCTGTTGAGGGCCTTTGATAAGGCCGTACAGGCGAAAGCGTTCACATATCCCCATGTATACTGCACCCCTGACCAGTGGGTAACTTCTGTGAGCTCAGTTTCCCCACTTATAAATGGAGATAATCCTCGTTGCCCCATGTGTCATTCGGGGTAAATGTGCTGATACCTAGGAGAGGGTCTCTGAGCCAGGAAAATTTTGGTTGTTCGGATCGCCCTCCCTCACCCCTCCGGGGAGACAGGTGTGAGGACTGCGGTGGGGTGGGAAGGGTCCTGGTTGCCATGGCAGCTCCCAGACAAGCAGCTCCCAGGGCCCCTGCTCTGGGCCCTGGAGGCTGAGAGAATCAAGGGCAGCCGGAGCCCTGGTGTCCAGCTGGTCTAGAGCAGCGCCTCCTGGGGCCCCGTCTGGCCAGGCACAAGGTCGGTCAGCCCCTGAGGCCAGGTGGGCACGGGCCAGGGCTTTGCTTCAGCTCCAGCCAGCACCTCCCCGGACCCTGCCAGTCCTGGGCTCTACTGCGAAGCTCTCAGGTCCCTCATGCTCAGAGGCCCTTTGCCAAGGTCCCATGCCCAGCTGCCTACAGCTGCCTGTCGGTGGCCGTGGGCTTTTAACCCCCTAGAGGCCGGTCCAGCTGCGGTGGCGGCTATCTCCTCGGGGAGTGGGGTGTGTAGGTGTGCGCACAAGGGGCAATAGGGGCTCTGACTGAGGTCCTCTCAGCTCGGGGATCAGCGGGGGAGCAAAAGGGAGTGGAAGGAGGGAGGTACTGGGAGAGCGGAGGAGGGAGAAGGAAAGCACGGCAGAAAGGGGAAGGATTCAAGGTGGCTTCCCTCGCATCATCTCACCAATCCTCCAGAACTGTGGAAGCCTCGTCCACACCTGACAGAGGAAGCTGAGGCTCCGGAGGGGCTTCGAGAGCTCACCCACCCCTCAACCCCTCCTCCCATCCCCCTAGACACCTGCCGCCGATTTCTACCTTTACCCCTAGCCCTCCTCCATCTCCCCATCGTGTTCCCATGTCCACCTTCCTACCAGGTGAAAACCAGCAGGCCCTGGGCAGAGGGGGAGGGGAGGAGTAGGAAACCTCCCAGAGGAGAATCAAGGCTTTTCCCGGCTTCCATTTCCAGGTGGAGCAGAGGCTCAGGGGGTGACTGAGCACGTGTGTACTTGGGTGTGACACACAGAGCCAGGTTTCCAGGTCTGGTCCCCAGCAGCCCTGTGAGAGAATGGGGGAGGGTTGATGTGGCTCCTCACACACACACACGCACACACACACACGCACAAACGCACGCACACCCCCCCACCCCGAGTGAGCAGCTTATGCCCAGCAGACACAGCCCCGTGAGTACAACTGAAGGTCAGCGTAGATGTGCAGGGCTACTGTGTGCGTGTTCATGTGTGCGCAGGCCTCTGTGGGCTCCGGACCCGAGCCGCCTCCAAGTTCACACATCAAGGAACACAGCGCCCCCTGCTGGCCAAACCACCCGCCTCTGCATCTTGAGGGCCCAAAGCCCTATGGGGACCTGCACCCTCTGGCCAGGCCAGGCCTGTAACTCCCTCGAATTGGGTGCCCCACCCATCCCTGAGGGTCTGTCTCCCATAGGCCCACCGTTCACCACGTTATGCTCCCCTTCGGACCCATCAAAAAAGGAACGCAGGTCGCTGGGCTGGAGGGAGAGGCCAGCCTCCCAGTCATGTCTGAGCCTGTACCTGAGTCCTGTGGGGGCGAGAGGGATAGGGGTCCTCTCTCTTCTGCATCCTCTCCCGGATAGTGGGCTGGGGGTAGCTGCTTCCTGGTGGCCTAGGGGACCCAGGCCTGAGGGACGCCCCGTACCCCTGCGTGGCTAGGGCCCAGACCCAGGATTTGTGTTAGAGGAAGCCCAGCAGCTGCGGATTCAGTGGACGAGGTCCCCCCCTGCTGGTCGGAGCTGGGACTTGCGGTCTGGCTCGAGGGTAGGGGCCCGGGTGGATGAGGGCAGGCGAGGGACTACTCCTTTAAGGGGGCCCTGTGAGGTACACACACACACCTCTCATTCACCAATACTAGGCTCGAGTTTGAAGGAGGGCTAGGAAGTCTGGCCCTCCTCACCCACGGTCTCTGGGATTGACGCTGGCCGGCCAGGCTCTATGGCTTCTCAGTCCCTCTCCTGACCCTAATGGCCCCTCCTCTTCAGAGGCAAAGCTGTAAGACCACAGGAGAGGTTCCCATTCCGGAGAAGCAGGAACTCAGGTTCAAACACTCTCAGGAGAGCAGTGCCCAGAACTGGAGTGTGGCTGGGGTCCCAGATGTGTATGTGCTGCGTTCTTTTCACACTAGTTTATTGAGCACTCACTGAGGTGCCGGCCCTGTTTTCCTTCTGTCCCCTGTCTCACTTTATGTTCCCAACAACCCATGAGGTGGGTACAAGTATCCCCATTTTATAGATGAGGGCTCCTTGCTCAGCGGGGAGTCAGCTTCTCCCTCTGCCCCTCCCCCTGCTCTTGCTCATGTGTGCGCTCTCTCTCTCTCTTAAATCTTGCAAAAAACAAAACAAAACAACACAAAACCACAACTCAGAGAACCTATGTTACCCAAAGTTGCAAAGTAGGATTTGAACTCCAAGCCAGACTCCTTAACTATGATGCAGGGCTGTGTCCTGAGCTGCTCTCCATTTTCCCTACAGAGAGCAGACTGGGCCCAGGTATCTCGCTCCCTTAATCTTAAACCATTCCCACAGCAACCCTGTGAGGGAAGCATTTTTGTCCTTGTTTCATAGCTTAAGAGACAGAGGCTCAGAGAGTTTAAGGTGGCTTCCTAAGGAGTGTCAGTGACAAGGGGACAAGGGCAGAGCAGAGCCACGGGCCCAGAGCTGTGGGACAGTGAGAAGAGAGGCCGGCAGAGGCAGGAGTGAGGAGACCCAGAGAAGGGTGGGGCCGGTTGTGGCTCCTGGGTATGTGTGGGGTGAGGCAGGGGGCTTCTGCCTCCCAGAGCAGACTCCCAACCTGGCACCTTTTTGGAACAGTGAGGTGCAGAGAGGGGAGTCCATGGCTGTGTCTCCTACCCGATGACAGCTCTGGCTGGTCACCTGCTTGGCATCTCAAGGGGCTGTCAGCTGATTCAATTCTCCTCCACCCTGCCTGGCACACCCTGGCACTGGGGCCAGGCCCTCCTCAAGTGGCAGAGACTTGACATAGCTGAGGTGGGAGGGGTGAGCAGGCGAGCGACTGGGTGAGGACCCTTCCTTTGCTCCCACGGCCTCCTCCTGACCTCTAGCTCTGTTTCTGTGTTTTGGTCTCCTCTCCCTTTCTCGTCCCGACCTCACCTCTCTGCCGCTCTAAGCCTTCCCTGGCCTCAGCTTCCCTGTCTTTCCACAGAGAACTGTGCAGACCATGGAGAGCATAAGGGATGACAAAGAGGAGACCGACTGTCCAGAGGGACAGAGACGATCAGTCAGAGTGTCCCAAGGAGAGGCTCTGGGGAGAGATGAGGCAGAACATGAACGTCAGTGGTTTATTGGTAAGCCCCTGCCCCAAACACCAGCAGCCCTACCCTGTGCATCCTCGAGCAGAAATAAATAAGGCAGCATTTAATGAACCAGTTTGTCTCCCTCCTTAGGCAATCTGGGGGGGCGGCAGCCTCTGCAGTCCTAGGGACCGGGACCCCTCTGGCTCTTAACGGGGGGCGAGCGGTGGGGGAAGATAGGGGCATACAGACTGCTGGTCCCCCCTTCCTAGCTTGGCCCCAGCGCAGCCTCTAAGCTTGGTGCTACTTGCGCAGTCTCTTGAGGTCTGACCTCATGGCAGCAGGCTGTCCTGTCCCAGAGAGACCCCTCCGCATCAGACACCAGCCCCTGGCCCCCACCCAAGAGTCCCATCATGGGTTACTGCTCCCATCCCTAACTGTGAAGCTGGGAGAGCCAGCACCTCCTCCCTAGCCCAGAGGACCCAGCTGTAGGGGAAGGAAGCTTTGCTGTCATACATATATATATTTTTTTGCCCCTGTGGTTCAGGGGCTGGGGGGCCGGCCCCTGCCTGGAACTGGTCAGCGGGCAGTCAGCTCCATGGTCTTCTTCCGCTCCTCCCGTTGCTCTTCCCAGTCCTCCTCAGGTTCGTATGTGCCCTTGATGATGGCCATGCGCTCGCTCAGGCTCAGGGAGTTGGGGAAGAGTAGGTAGAAGTAGAGGATGGCAGCCAGGATGGCCCCCACGATGGGCCCTACCCAGAACACCTGGCGGGGACATGGCAGCATCAGGGGGCTGAGTGTCAGACCTCAGAGACCAACAGCTTCCCCTCCAGAGGAGAGACCCGTAGACCATCAGAGGAGGCGGACCTACAGAGTTCCAGACCTCCAGAGGGAGAGATTTCCTCCTGCCCAAGGAAAAAATATACTGACACCCTATTCCTCAATGACCGGGACTTGGCCTACAGACGCTCAGATCTTCAAAGGAGACAGATCCCCAGAAGGACAGGGCCCCCCAGCCTCACCCTAAAGAGAGACAAATGACCCTTCGAAGGAAAAAGACATGTATATTCCCGGAGAGACAACAGAACTCCTCTCCCTCCCACATAGCGAATGAAACAGACCCTGGAGAGAGAGAACAGGAGGAGGCGACAGATAGACTGTCCAGAGGGACAGGCCCACAGGAAGGAAGACTCTCGACCTCCTCAACCGGAACAGATAAATAAGACATCAGAGAGGACAGACACACAGACACGTTGCCCTCCCCCCCACCCCCATTCCACCCCAGAAGGACAAAGTCCTCAGAGGTTTACACAGAGCAACAGGTCTCCTTCCCTTCTTTAGAGGTATAGATACAGGTAGTCCCCCCACCCCAGCCCAGCCCCAAACCAGGGTCCTCTGCCATTTAACTACCCTTGTCCTTGTTCTGGTTGCATCCCATCCCCTTCTATATCCCTTTCTCTCTCCAGCCACACCTCCCAGGGCCACCCCCAAGCTCTGGGCCCACAGCATCCAGACAGTCCCGGGGCTCTTGGCCAGGTTTCCAGGCCCTCATTGCCAGGGAGCCAGTGTAGGGCTCACCCAGGGACTCACCCACTGAGCAGAGCTGAGGCGATTCATAACCATGGCGGGGCCGAAAGAGCGGGCTGGGTTCATGGAGCAACCGGTGAAGTAGATCTGGACAGAGGGAGGGAGGTGGCGAGGGGGGGACATGCTTGTCCCAACTCCTAAAGGCCCAGTCTTTCCCACAGTCACCCAGAAGTTCAGGGGCTCAGCCAGGTCTCTGAATCAAGTCTCCCGGTTCCTAGGCTGGTGACCTCTCCCTCCATGGGTCCCCATGCACCCTTCTTCTCAAGTCCTGTGCTTGGGCTTGATTTCCCGCCTTCACCCCAACTCCCACTTACTGCCATATTCTCTCAGGCTAGAGAAGATTTCGGGGGATCCAGCCTGGGACAGGGTACAGCAACCCCACTCCAGGCCTTAACTCCTGGTTCAGAAGGGTGCTGCTCTAGGGCCCCATTATTTGCCCCGAGGGGCTTCCCACAACTCCAGCCAAGTGGCCTTATTGCTCACCCCCACGAGGTGGCCCAGTGTGACAGAAAGGCCAATGGACAGGGCCGGAGAGCCCACAGGACTGGTGCGGCGGGTGTCGGTGGAGGAGAAGATGCAGAGTGCTAGCTGGAAGGTCAGAATCAGCTCCACTACCACAGCCTGGCCCTGGCTTGTGTTGTTGTTGAGCTGCAAGGGGAGGGTGGGTTAGAACCCCTGCCTTCCAGCTCTATGGCCGGGGGCTTGGGGCCTCTGAGGACACTTAGAGCCATTGTACCTGGAGGCCAAGCCTTGCGCACATCAGGAAGGTCTTTTGCTGAAAAGACTGAAAAGACCTGAGAGTGTGCGCAAAGCTTGGAGCACAGGCCTGTGGCCAAGGAGCTGAGTGTGAGAGGAGCTTTTCCTGGACAAGGTCCTGTCAACGGTTCTGCCCAGTTCCCACCCCCACAAGCTGGCATTTACCCTCCCTCCTGTGGGCAGCTGCCCAGTTTGCCTACTGCACCCCCAGCCTGCCTCCCGCCTGTGTCTGACCCGCTGCCAGTGCCAACCTCAAACCCGTCTCTCCGGTGGGGCTGACTCACGGCTTGACAATGGCCGAGAAAATCCTCCTCTGTGTTTGATTAATGAACCCAGTTTGCATGGGACATGGGGACTGAATCTGGGACTGTGGGAGGGGGTGGGAGCAGGGAACCAGGAGCAGGAACCCATATTCAACAGACCCTACACACGGGCACCACATTAGGAGGTTCACACGCATGGTTTCTAAATGTAACCCCCTTGACACCTGCCATGGTAGGTTATGACCACCCCCACGGAATGGCTGAGAAAATGAGACCCAGAGGAGCAAGGGTCACCCAAAGCCAGGATTATGACCCATCTTTGGTGGTTCCATGAAACCACTCCAATGAGGAGCAGACAGGAGCAGGGACGGTCCCAAGAGGAAGGCAAAACTCAGGGCTGAGACAGGAGAAAGCCAGAAGTTTTGGGCAAGAAAGGAGGGACAGTAGGCACCAGGAGATAGACCAGGAAGCGCAGCAGGAGGGGAGAGGGCGGAGGAGGTGGGTATGAACCAGGGATGCTAGCAGGGGCACACCCCAGCCTGGAGATTCATCTTTCTGACCTTCCTGACTGCACTGGCCCATTCTGTGGCACCCGTCTTTGACATGGGGCCCGGGGATCTGGTCAGGAGCCCACTTCAAGGTCCCTATCCCACCCCAGCCCCGTGGGCACTCACCGCGTTCATGGCCAGATTGCCTCGGGCATTGAGCGGTGCCAGCCCATAGAGGATGCCCGCCCCAGCAATGGCGCCCACCAGCTGGGCCACCACGTAGAAGACAGCCCGGAGCAGGGAGATCTGGTTGCCCACCAGGAGGGCCAGCGTGATGGCGGGATTGATGTGGCCGCCGCTCACGGGCCCCAGGGCCTGGGCCAGGGTGCCTATGGCCAGGCCAAAGGCCAGCGAGATCTGCAGGATGCTGGGCAGCGCCGACGGCCACTTGAGGGCCGAGCCGAGGCCAAAGAAGACGAAGATGAGGGTGGCCAGGAACTCGGCAAACACGGCCTTGAGGAAGGCCACGGAGCACACCTCCTTCTTCATGGTGGCCGCGGGGGCCTGGCGGCGGCGGCGGCCGCGACGCGGGACGCCCGTCGGGGCGGCGGCGCAGGGGGCGGGGGGCTGGCTCCCGGGTGCGGCGCGCTCTGCGGCGCCCACTGTGTGGCTAGCGGCCTGGCGCGGGCCGTGCAGGGGTGCGCTATATAGAGGGCGGGCGCCCCGCGGGGGGGCGAGCGCGGGGGGGCAGTGGGCGGCTCCGGCGCCCGGGGCCCAGCGCAGCGCGCAGGGAGGGAATCTGGCGGCCAGCGCCGGCTCACAGCGGCCCCGGGGCCCGCGCGCCCCCGGCCCGGCGCCCGCCCCCCCGCCGGGGCAGCAGCGGACGCGCCCGGGCCACGTGACCCAGGCGGCGGCCGTGTAGGCCGGCCGGGCGGCTGGGGACCCGCGCATGGTGCGCCCCCGACGGCTCCCGCGCTCTCCTCCGCGCTGCTCGTCCCGGGCTCCCTGGGAGACTTCGCCGGGTCCGGCCTCGCCCGTCCTACCGTGCTCCGAGCGCCTACCTCCGCTGGCCCTCGATCTCCGTCCCTTGTCTTCCCCTTTTTTTCTCGGGCTCTGGGTCCAGCTCCTCCTTTTCCTCCTGCGACGCGGGCATCCTGACCCGGCCTCACCCCCCGGCAGGGCTGGAATGAGGCGATTCTCCGAGGACAGCGCCACTCAGCTCCCTGCCCGGCGGTGGCGGGGGCGGGTGGCCGGGCTGGGCCGCGCGGGGCGGTCCGGGCGGCCGTCGTGGGCCTCTCCCTGGCTGGGCCAGGCTGGCTTCCCGGGTTGGAGCGGGGGCATTTTGGGAAAAGCGGGCGCAGTGCCAGCCGGGCCCGCGTTTGGCAATCCTCGAAGCCCAGTAGCCCCAGGAGGCTCCCTCTCCCGGGCGGCCGCGCCAACCCCTCCAGGAGCACAGAACTCCTGGGGGATCCCAGCGAGTCCCCAAGAGGATGGGGGCCGGGAATTCACTTCGTTCATGGGACGCGAAGGGGCATGACCGAGGGCGGTTTTGTTTTGGGTCAGGGAAGAGCCCCTGGGAGTGGGGGTCGGAGTTTGGTGCGACGAGGGTGCAGGTGCAGCGCTGACCTCCCGTGCCGGGTCTTGGCCTCTCCCGCTTTTCTGCCCCTGTCGGAGGCCCCCCCTACTCTGGATATCTCAGGTTTTTCTTTTCTTCCTCCCACCGCTCACCCCTTCCTCCTCTGTCTCCTTAGTCTTCCCCTCCTTCAAATCCTCACTCAGTCCTTTTTTTTTTTTTGAAGATTTTATCTTTAAGTAATCTCTACACCCAACATGGGGCTCCAACCCACAACCCTGAGATCAAGAGTCCCAGGCTCTACCTGAGCCGGCCAGCCAGCCCCCGCCCCTCACTCAGTCTTGCAATACCTGCCTCTGCTCTTTCTCCTTCAGCCTCTCCCTCCAAACTCTTTCTTTTTCAGACTTCTTGTCTCTGTCTTCAGTCTACTGGTCTGTCCTTCCAGCAGTCTCTTCCTCTCTCGTCTCTGTCTCGGTCTCCCTCGAAATCCCTGTTCCCCTATCTCCTTGCAGTCTCAGTCTGTCTCTTAGGCTCTCCCTCTTTTTCTCTTTCCAATTTCCCTTCTCCCCCCCCCCCCTGCTTTCTGTTTAGGGTCTTAGCCTTAGGCTCTGTCTCAGTCTCTCCTTGCCTCTGTTTCGGTCTCCTGTTTTACTTCCTCTGCCTCTTCATTTCTGTGACTTTCTTCATTTCTTTTCTGTCTCTACCTCAGTTTCCAGGCCCGTCTCTCTTACATGTGTTCTTTTCTAGTGCTCCCACCCCTGGACTAGGTGACACTCTCTTCCAGCTCCCTTCCGCCTCCCCCTGCACTTATCCCTTCCCTCTGAGCTCCCAGCTGCTCTCCGCTGGCCTTCCCAGCCCTCCTTCTTCCCAGCCCCACGTTAGGCATGTAGGGAATGAGACTGGAGAGCCCTCCAGGGCTTGGAAGAAGGATCCCAGGAGAGGAGTTCCACAAAAGACCCCACCCCCTGCTACCACCACGTGTCCTTGGGAAGCACTCAGCACAGTGCCTGCTACAGAGTAAGGCTCAGTAAAGCTTCCTCATGTTGTGCGTGTGACTATAATTTTACAGCCCCCCTGAGGACTCTATGTGGTGTTACACAGAGGGTGCAGCAGAAGGAGAGAACGGGTGCTCCTCTGGTAGTCTCTCCAGCAGGGGCTAAGGGGGGGGGGGGCTGGAGGAAAGCCAAGGACCTGGAGGAGCGGGCTCTGGGCTCCGTGGCAGCTAAGAGGCCAAAGAAAACAGGGACCAAAGAAACCCCACTATTGTTCCTCCTCAGTTCTGTGTTTCCAGCTGGAGCAGCTCCTTTCCCACATCTTTCCTCCTTTTTTTTTTTTTTAAGATTTTATTTATTTATTTGAGACAGAGAGAGGGAGTGAGCATGCAGGCGCACACGCACAAGCTCAAAGGCGGGGGGAAGGAGCAGGAGCTGGTGGGGGAGGAACAGAGGGAGAAGGAGAAGCAGACTTCCTGCTGAGCAGGGAGTCCGAAGCAGGGCTCCATCCCAGGACCCTGAGATCATGACCTGAGCCGAAGGCAGACGCTCAACCTTCTGAGCCCCCCAGGCGTCCCCCATTTCTGTCCTCTTGCGCCAGGTCTGTTTGTCCTTTCTGCCATGGGTCCTGGAGCCCTGCCCCTGGAAGGGCATGGCAGGTGTGTACTGGGTTTTCATCTGGGCTCGGGGCTCAGGGCTCAGCGCAGGCCTGTCCCAGACTGGAATAGTGACCCTGATGACTCCATAGACTCAGAGGGAGCAGTTGGTTACGTTTCCTAGGCCTGTGCTTAGGGTCCTTGCATCTCTCTCCAACCATCTGGGTCACTCTGTTCCAAGGCTGTCACAAGAAACTACTGCAGCTACTATGTTCTGGAACTGTCTTTGCCCTGAGCACTTGGGCTCTGGGCTGGCAGCCCCAGAGGAATGCTTCTTTGGGATGTCTCTGGACTGGGAGATAGATCTCCCCATCTGTGGCAGGGAGAGTTAGAACCCCTCAGGGAGAGCCCTTTCCCTCCTCTCCTGATATAGGGACCCCTGTATTTCCTGGGAGTCGTTGAGGGCTGGAGGCAGAAATGGTAGGGTAATTGGCAGCAGAATATTCCCCTGGGGCTCCACGCATTCCCCAGTGTGGGGGAAGAATCATTCAGTCCTTCCTACAAAGACTTATGGGGCAGTTCCTATGTGGCAGGCACTGTTCTAAGCACTGGGGATATAGCCGTGAACTAGCAGACTATTTCTCTGCCTTGAGGAGCTAATATTCTAATGAAAGGAGACAGGCAATAAACAATGGGTATATGTAAGTTATACAGTGTGTTGGAATCTGGTAAGTGCTAATGGAAAAATAGAATATGTTAAGGGGGGCTGGGCATGCTGGGGTGGGAGTGGAGGTTCTTTGAAATTTTAAATGAGCTATCAGTGTAGGTCTTGTTGAGAAGGTGACGTCTGAGCAGACTTGAAGGAAGACAGGGAGAGGTCCATGCCTGTATCTGGGGGAAGAACATTCTGGGCAGAGGGAGCAGCCAGTGTTGCCGGAACAGAGGAAACAAGGAAGAGCAGAAGGAGGTGAGAGCAGAGGCGGTGGCGGGGGCAGACTGTGCACCAGCAAAAGGCCCACAAGGCCTCACTGGCAAGAAGGAAGAAGTTGCGGAGCCAAGGACTGCTATGGTCTGACAAAGTTTTTAACCCCGCCCCTCTGCTCCTGGGTTGAGAAGAGACCAGAGGGACAGGGATTAAAGCAGGGAGATGGGTAGATGCCTACCCAGGGAGAGGTGATAGTGGCCTGGACCCCAGTGGAGGTACTGATGGTGAGAATGATCAGATTCTGGATCCCTTGCGCACGGAACCCTGAGCGGAAGGCCTGATGGAGTGCCCGTGGTGCGTGAGAGCGAGGAGTCAAGGGGGACTGGAGCTGTTTGGCCTGTGCATCTGAAAGACTGAAGTTGTATCAGTTGAGCTGGGGAGGACGGTGGCAGGAGCAGGTCTGGGTCTGTTAGTTGGGGCCGCGTTGAGTATTCGGGGTTGTTCTGTTCTGACTTCCCAACACAGCGCTAAGGCCAGCGTGAGGAGACCAAAAGGGGCTGTTCTGTTCTTTACTTTCTCTGGAGGCCAGACAGCCTGCCCATGTCTTGGTGCCCCCTCCATGGTGCCGTCTGAGTCACAAAGCCTGGGTTGCCCATTTCGGCCAGGCTGGCTGTGGAGATTTGCCTTCACAGGCTCCCGTCATTGAGCTGCTTATTCAGCATTGACATCCCTTCTGCACCGTACCCAACAGCAGCTCTGCGGGGCTCAAGACGTGGGAGAGACCCCGGTCTGTCTTCTGGCACTTTGGACGATATTGACCATCACTCAGGTGTGGAAGAAATAGCACTTATTGGCAAATGAACATTTATTGAGTGCTTACTATATGCAGTGCACTGTACTAGACCAGACTGATGAAGGAAAATACGTAGCAGAATGCCATCCAAGAACTGGAAGGAGCCCTGCCCCCAAAGGGCTTACAGTCTTGCCTGGGAGGCACGGCGTGTACACAGAATCACCGCTGAAAAGACACAAAGCCACATGAAAGCAACATTTGCAGGCACAAAGTGGGGATGTGGGAATGGATGCTGCTGGGACAGCTCAAAGCCTCCTCTGTCCCCAGCTTGAGGACCCGGAAGCCTGTCCACCTGCCTCCATGCTGCCTTGCGTCTTTCTGGTTTTGGGTGTGTCCGCCCTCCATCCTCCTCCAGACTAGGAGCTTTTCAAGGGCAGAAACCAGCCTGGTGTTCTTTGTCCTTTTCTCCCTACCCTGCTGCGGCCCTCCCCAAGGGCCTGTGTCCACCACTAGACAGAGGGCTGCGCTGGACAGCCTCAGTTGTGTGCTCTGGTTTCTGCCAGGGGCGCCCAAGGGGGCAATTAGGACTTGCCCCAGACCAGACCTGGTGTCTCCTGAGCTCCGAATGGACAGATCATGGGATTTTGCAGTCAAATGCTCTATCCCTGAGCTATACCCCCAGACCATGGGATTTTTGAATAAGAAGGCCTGAGTTCAAGTTTTGAGTCCGCCATATACAGCTGTGTGATGTTAGATCATTCTCTGAAATGCAGTTCTTCAATCTATAAAATGGGAAGAACAGTATTTGCTCTGCCTGTCTCACAGGGTTGGGAGATAATCAGGGGGGATGATAGGGAGTGCGTTGGAAATGCTAAAATCCGGCGGACCTGGAAGCTGCCCTCCTTCCCTAATCTGCCTGAGGTTTTAGCACAGAGGTTGGGACACAAGAGATGCTCACTAGGTGTCAGGTCCCCTCCATCCTCACCATTTTGAATCCTGCTTTGACCTCTGACCTTAGTGACCCCAATCTGGGCAATCAGGGCAGGAGGTTGTGGTGATGTCACATTTGGTTTTAGGTGAGGTGCAATCCAGGAAGCGGGATAGACATAAAGAGAAATTCTTGGCACCTTCTAGGGGGATGTGTGGGGGTGAGGTGGGGTGGGGATGGGGTGCCTGAGACACGTGCAGGCTTGGCTTACAGCTCAATGCCTTGCTGCTTTTGAACTTCGAGAGCAGTTCAAAGTACAGCCCCAGAGGTCACTTTGGTCTCTGATACAACCTCTCCTCTGGTAGGAGGTCAGGTGGCTGTCACCAGCTGTCGGGGGGTTCGGGACCCTTTCTTCCATAGCACCTATGGGCCAAGGCAGCCTTTTTCTGACCCTAGAGGGAACTTTGGTCAAGGATGACAGCAAAAAGCATAGATGAGGAGGTGGGCACACACCCAGAGATGTTCCCCATACACCGTCCATCTTTGAAGGGAGTGGAGGGCAGGAAGGGGCTGGAGACTCCAGGACACTGGGTGCTCGGTGCCGTGTGAGACAGACACCGACAGAAGCCTGGAAGCAGGAAGGCCCTAGTGCATGGAGAAAGGGGCTCAAGATGTGATTCTGAGGTTAGCTATGCAGCAGACTGGAGAGGGACGGAGAGAATGGAAGGTGTCTGGGTGATGGGAGGAGGAAAGTGCTAGAACAGCTAGGGTGCACTCAGGGCCAGGAGAGGTGAAGAGGCTGGACCAGGATGGGGTCATCCCCAAACCCATCTCCTTCTGCCTTGACTCTCAGGGCCGTCCTTTGCACTGTCCACCATCTAAAGAAGGTAAAAGAGGCTGAGGATCAGGCCCCTTCTGTGCTCTACCCGCAGGAAGCGGAAATAATGAAATAATCCCAATAATGCGTGCTAATGGTATGAGGAATTACAGTTCACACAGCATCTTCACATGCATCATCTCACTTAATCCCACTTAATCTCATTTGAGAACCATTGCACTGGCCTGGAAATGTAGAAGCCCAGGCTCTAGACACAGACCTGCCTCTGCCTGGACAAGTCATTTCCCTTCTGTGGTCCTGCGAGTGCTAGGCTGCTCTCGCCCCCCAGTAACTGAACTAGGGTGGAAACCTGAAGGGAGGGAGAGGAAGAGAGATTCCGGGGGAGCGAGGCCTGTGGCCGCATGCCTGAAGGCCCTGGCCAGCCAGCCAGGGGTGCGTGCCAGGAGAGAGGCCTCACTTGCGAAACGGAGTGTCTCCTTTCACCAAGTGTCCAGTTGCAAATCTCCCCCTCTCCCAAGACAAAGGCTGGGGCCCGCAGAGGGCTTTTGTTTTCTCTGCCACAGGCTAATCTCTGGGTCTGGAGCCCCCTGGAGATGGGGGTCTCCTGCATACATGTAGGGCATGTACACACACATACAGGCATGCACACACACATGCCGGCTTCCTTCTTTGAAGAGGTCTTCCCTCAGGGCAGAAAGGAGGTCCTTGGCCACCCAACCCTCCCTTTTCCCCGGAAGACACTTTTGGGGAAGCCATTCTCTGGCTGATATTCTCTGTCTCTAGCAATGGGAAGTTGGCAAACCTTGGGGCCCAGCGCTGCAGCTTGGGGGAATTTTCCAGGAGAGGCAGGGTAGGGGTTGCCCATCAGGGCCCTCCCTTCAGCCCTCTCAGGGGCCTCCAGACCCTCCCCTTCCCTTCTCCTGAGGAGCACTGTCTTAGAGCTCCTGGGGAGGATGGGGCTGCAGAGGGAGGAGATTTATTGCACTGGGGGGGGAGGGGTCAAGAGGGGAGTGAGAGGTTGCCAGCCAGTGCACTCACACCACCACGGGCACAGCCACTTACACTCAGGAGCATGCACCACCGTGCACTTGGGGACAGAGAGACACTAGGGAGGAACACACACTTGCACACTAGCAGAACCTGCCGCACCGTTCCCAGATCCCCCTCCCCCGCGGTACCCGGTGCGGCCTCCCCAGAGCCTTCCTCCGCCTGCTGGCCTTCCCTCCCCAAATGTCCAGCTGCCTGCAAGGGGCCAGAGCGTCCGGACTGCTCACTGCCTGCAGCCTGGGGGACGGGGGGTCTGCCGGCCTCACCGCCACCCCGCAGCCCCCGCAGCGGCTCCTGGGCGCGGCGCACGCCCGGGGCGGCCTTCGGACCTGGGGAGAGGAGGGGCTGGCTGGGCGGCGGGCGGGCAGTCCCTCGGAGCTCTTCCCCCGGAGCCTGGGGCCGGGGCCTCGGGGCCGGGCGGGCGGTGCGCTCAGGCCTTGCTGCCCCGCGGCAGGCTCTGCGGCGAGTGCAGCTCCACGGACTGCCGCCGCCGCACCTCGCGCTCCTCCCAGTCGGCGTCGGGCTCCTGCCCCTTGAGCACCGCCAGGCGCTCGGCCAGGCTCTTGGCCGGCGGGAACAGGACGTAGTTGTAGAGGAGGGAGCCCAGGACGGCGCCCACCAGGGGTCCGATCCAGAAGACCTGGGGCGGGAGGAGAGGCCGGTCGGGGCGGGGTTGAGGCGGGGGGGGGGGGGCCGAGCCCCGACGCCCCGCGCCCCTCAGCCTCCAGACGCCCTCCCCCCGCTTGGTGTTGGAAAGGGGGTCTCCCACGCGATTCGTGGACTAGTGCGGGGGCGGGGCGGATTGGCGGACTTAGTAACGACGGCAGCAGCTGTTGGGGCAGGCGGGCTAGTTGGGGGTTAAGGGTGCGAATTCCAAGCGGACTGCCCGGGTGACCAGAGGCAATGTGCCCACCCTGTCTGGGCCTTAGTTTCCTTTCATTGTAATAATGCCTACCTCCTAGGGTGGTCGTGAAAACCAACAAAGCACTTAGAACAAGGCCTGGCCCCTACTCAGGCTAGATAAGTGCTGAATAATACAAATGTCTGCGTTAGCTAGTACAAATATTACCATTTACGGGGTTCCAGCTACTGTGTGAGCTGTTTTACACCTCACTTAAGGAACGTCACTTAACTCTTCCAGAAAGCCAATGAGGCAACAGCTGCTATTATCCTCACTGAGGGATATGGAAAGGAAGAACGAAGTGTTCCACCGCATCAGACCCGAGGGAGGAAAGCCCAGGCTCCCCAGGAGGAGCGCGGTGGGTTCGCTGAGCTCCGACCCCCTCTATTCCAGCCCTAGCAGAGATGGGTTTCTGAGGGAGGGGAAGGCCGGGGAGGTTTCAGCCATTACCCAGTGGTCGTCAAACTTGCCGGTGACAACAGCAGGAGCCAGGGAGCGGGCGGGATTCATGGAGCAGCCAGTGTAGTGGATCTACAAGGGGAGGCAGGGGTCAGGGACAGAAGGCAGCTGATGAGGACAGCGCAGGGAGTCCTTGTGCCCCTCTCTAGCCCTTGCCCTCAACCTCAAGGGAACCCCTGTGATGGGCAGTTAGTCCGCATAGGTACAGGGTTCTGTCTTCATTGGAGGCTGGAGTGAGATCTGGGGGAATCTGGGAGTCAGACCTTCTGGGATGGCCACATGACTGTGCCTCTGGGGAGTTCTGTGTATCTGGCCCCTGGGGGTGTCTGTCACTTTGTGTCTGTCACTTTTGCGGGTCTGTGTGTCTATTTCTAGAGTGGTCTGTGTGTCTGCTTCTTTGGGGAAGGTCTGTAGGTCTGTCCCTGGGGGGACTAGAAGCAGTGGCCCTGACCTACCCCAAGGAGGTGCCCCAGGACCACGGAGAAACCGATGGAGAGGGCAGGGGTGCCCAGGTTGTCTCCACGACGCTCATCTGTGGAAGCGAAGATGCAGAGCACCAGCTGCAGGGTCAGGAAAAGCTCCACGGTGACAGCCTGGCCTGCTGTTGTGTTGTTGCTGAGCTGGGGAAAGAGAGAGGGTGGGTGGGGGCACGCTGAGCGGGCTGCCCACTCTGGCTCCATCTTCCCACCCATCTGCAGTCAAGGCTCCAGAGAGGCTTCTGGGCTGGGACTGGAACACCGGGGCTCACCAGCCACCTTAGCTCAAATGAATGATGGCTTCTTCCTGGGCTGTGGCCCAAAGGTAGGGGGATTGACCCCAGGACTGCTGGTGGTCCCTAGGCCAGAGGTAGGAAAACTGACTACACAGCCCATTAGATTTGGGGGCTGTGATTATGTGCCTAATGTGGGAGGCAAAGGATGCTGAGGTCCACGATTTGTTTCCAGAAAAACAAGAAGGGAAGAGGTCTTGACTGCAGCAGGAAGCTTTAGGGCAGGTAACAGAAAGGCCTTCTTTGCTCTCTAGGCCGTAAGATACTACTGGTGTAACGAGAGGCCTGTGCTCTTTCTTCATGTGGGCAAAGGGTCCCCAGGGAAGGGTCTTAGGACTTGGGTCTAGGAAAGTCCTAGTGAGAACCCTCACCCCATGAGCCCAGTGTACAACTCTTTCTTTTCACCTTTGCCTGTCCCCTCGGATCTTGCCTGTTCTACTCTGTACTTCAGGCCTCAGTTTTGTCCCGTGGATTTGTTCCCTGCACATCCCGTGGAGGTTGGGGATGGGGGCGCTGGTGCCCTGTACTGTGGCAAGGGGGCCTGTGGACCAGGTGGGGTGCCCATGGTCCTGGCAGACCCTGCCTTGGGTAATGAGAGAACTTGGGGCCGAGCAAAGAGGCTATTTCATAACCAGGCCGCACCCAGCACTGGATTTCTCTCTGGGTTTTGTCATCCTGTGCCCTACACCCTGCCCTCAAGCGCTGGGCACTGCACCGGCTGGCACTAGGAAAGCTCTCAGCTCCCACGCTCCTTCTCTAGGCCCTGAACCCCCATTCTTGGGTCCTAGCCATCGGGCTGGCACCCTTGGGTCTCTAGGGTCTAACCTCAGGCCCTCCACTCCCGTCGTCCAATGTTAGAGCCTCTAGTGGGGGGCAGTGAAAAGAGCTTTGAAGGCAGATATTTTGGAGGCCTACAACTTGCCATGGGGCCCTATTTACTACTTCAGCCTCAGTTTGTCCTTCCATAAAATGGGGATAACATAACAGATTCCGGAGGACTGTGTGAGGACTGGAAATGACAAGGGCAGAGCCCCAGCCCCATTCCCACTGGTAAATGGCTTTTCTAAGGGAGAGGTGTGGACAGGGATTTGGTGTCAGACAGCTCTGCATCCACTTCCAGGTGCTGACATCAGCTAGTTCTGTGATTTGAGTCAATTGAATGCTGGGCCTCAATTTACCAATCAGGGTAGAGGGTACACAGAATTCATCTTACAGTGTTGCACCCAGACATAGGTGATATCTGGCCTGGCAAAGAGCAGGTGCACATCAGCGGTAACTTCCTGGCAGCTAGGCTGGCCTTTCCAATGACCTCAGAGGATGCCTGGAACGGTCTTGGGGGTCATCTAGCTTTCTAGCCTCAGGGCAACCCAGCCCCACTGCTGCACCATTCCAGCAAGGCAGGGTTCTCCCTAGTTCCTCAAGATGGTAAATGCTGAGCAGTAACTTGGGGGACCCTCTCCAGACTCTTTCCTTCTGAGGGCCCCAGTTAACTGTCAAATGATGGAGGAGCAGGAGTGAGTGTCCCCATGGCTCCTTAGCATTTCCATTGCTCTGCTCTTAGAGGAGATTCTCTAGCCACACATTCACTTTCTTGGCCATACTCTCAGGAAGTTCCTCCGGCAGTCTAACTGGACCTCTCCTTCCTGGGAACAGAACTAATTTCATACTCACTGGAAATAGTCACACTCCTCAATCTGTCTCCCACCATGGCCACTCTAGCCTTTCCTCATCCCTGAGCCCCAGCCTCATCATATTTTCCATTTTGAAGAAGAAAAATTTCCTCAATTGGGACACCTCTACCCCTTGCATGAGGAAGGGCCACCTGTGCAAAGGAAGGGGTGGCCGCAGAAACCGTGTAGGACTCTTCAGAGACATCAGCGCTTTTATCCAGTGGCCCAGGGAAAGGCAGGCCATCGAGGCATGAAAGAGGTGCTTGCGGCCCTGGCTTGGGATAGGGGTGGAGAGAGATGTGTATTGAGGGGACACAGACTTGGCCTCCTCACCCATGGCCTCGGATGCCAGGGTGCTGCACAGACCCAGGAGAGAGAGAGAGCAGGAACACGGAGGGGGAGGGATTGCGGTGTCCTCCCAGCTCCCAAAGTGCCTAAGGTGTCCGATTAGCCACTGCTCCTATAATCAGCAGTTAGTCACAGGCTCTGGGGACCTTCTCCAGGGTCTGGAGAGACCTTGCCTCTTCAGCTTTTCCTTGAGTTCTGGTGCTCTCTCGGGTATTGACACGCCGTAGAACTCTTGGCCCATGCCTTCCCTTCTCTGAGCCTCAGTTTCCTTGTATGCTAAACAAGTCTTAGTTGATGGCTCAGGGAGGGGACACTGGTCAGGTGGAAAGATCATGAGTTTTGCAGTCAAGCCTGGGTTTGAAGGCTGGCTTCTGGCACCTTAAGCAATGGATATACCCATCCCTACCTCGAAGCTCTGTTGTGATGTGTCAACGTGTGGCTTGTGAGGAGCACCTGCTGTGAGGCTCACACACGGATGCTGGAGAAATACTTCTTCCCTCGAGAAGACCCTTGGGACTAGCACTCTGAGGTTCCTCCCAGTTCAGAAAGCACATCTGCTTTGGGACTTTGTCTTCTGCTGAGTTCTAGCCCAGCCCTCACTGTAAAGCGGGCATCAGGTCAACCCTGATTTTGCTCTTCCCCCATGAGACTCAGGGCGGAAGGTGCCAGCAGACCCACCTGGATCCTGCCTCTGCTCAGACCTTATTGCTCCTTCTACCCCGACTCCCTTATGGCACCTGTGTTCCTGGCTTCAGCATCTCTCCCTCTCTCCCTCCCCCCCACCCTCCGTCTTTCTCTCTCCCCACCCAGACCCTCATCCAGATCTGGTCCCCCCATCTCACCCTTTCCAAGGGACTCCCCAGGACCTGCCCCTTGGGGAAGGGACAAAGTTCTGGCTACTCACTGCATTCACAGCCAGGTCCCCTCGAATGTCGGGTGGTGTGATCTCATGGAGCAGAGCGGCCCCTGCCACAGCCCCCAGCAGCTGGGCAGCCACGTAGAAGGCAGCTCGGAGAAAGGAGACGTGGCAGCCCACCAGGCAGGCCACGGTCACGGCAGGGTTGATGTGAGCCCCGCTGACGTGGGCCAGAGCCTGCACCAGGGTGCCAATACCCAGGCCGAAGGCCATGGCAATCTGCAGCACAGAGGGCAGGGCCTGTGGCCAGTTGAGGGCCGAACCGAGGCCGAAGAAGACGAAGAGGAGTGTGGCCAGGAACTCGGCAAACACAGCCCTGGAGAAGGCTATGGACCGGAGTTCCCACATGCTGTGCCCTCTGTGGGCTGGCCCGGCAGTCACAGCAGAAGGAAGCTTGTGGAGCACGCTCTCTCTCTCTCTCTCTCTCTCTCTCTCAGGGTCTCTGGGGAGGCTGGGCTAGGGGCATTTATAGGGTTCTTCCATCCTGGATTGGGACACGTGAGGTGGAGGTGGAGTCTGGGTCCGTAGCTTGTCTCTCCTATGGCTGCTCCCATCCCCCACCCCTGCCCACCAGCATGCCTATCACCCCATCTTGGCCTTCACAGCTGACTAATGTTCCCCATTAATAAGCTCCAGATAAGGACTGACGTCCCCTGGTTTTCCGTGTTTGTTCCCTGGTTCCCCCAGGGCTGTGGCCCCAGGGCTTCCCCCGCCCCCACTGGTTCTGTGAGTGGGGCTTCTCTGAGGGGATGATGCCAAACCCCCTCCCTCTGACTCCAGCTATTGGTCAAGGCAGGGACAACACCTCACCCAAGAATGACCATGAGAGAGGATGTCCATGCTACCCCTTCTAGTGATTGGGAAGTTCTTCCTGTTGTTGACCTTCAATTATTCCTTCTTGAAGGGGATGGAAAACAACAAGTTGGCTTGTGACGTGAACCTTCCAAGGCATAAAGGTTTCGTCTCTTCTGGGCTCACTTTCTTGTAGTCAGTTACCCAGAAGTTCTTAAGCTTCATGTCCTCCCAGGAACTCCAGCCAAAAGGCAGCTCCCGTAGCCTGGACGGAGGGGGGTGGTGTCAGTGGCAGGGGGACCCTGGTTCTGGGTGATGGGATCAACCTGCGGTTGCCTGAGGAAGCTTCCGGCTTCCATTCCAGCATCACCCTGGTCCATCTCTGTGATTTACCCTTTCTTGTCTGTCTCTGTAAATAGGGGATAATAAACTTCTACATGGGGTTGGGGTTTGGGGTAAATGAAATAATGTAAAGTGCTCAGAGCCTCACCTGGCCCACAGTCAGCCATCAATTAATATCAGCTATTATTAATAGCGTTATTTATTTATACTCTGAATACTCGGAGGAGGAGAAGAGGTCTCCCTAAACTCACATAGAGTGTCCCAGAAGCTGTGACAGGTAGTAGGCACCCCCTGGAGCTCAGAGCCACCCAAGCCACATGGGGAGGACATTTCTGTGAGGCAGTGAGCTGTGCAGGCTCAGGGAGGCCACAATGATCCAGAAGCGACTCTTTGGCCTTGCTGCCCACTCAGCCCAGTCTCTGGGCAATGCCACCTCCCACCATCAGTGCTGCCCTGGCCTGGGATCTAGGAGACATTTAGGTCTGGGAGTCCCCAGGCCCCACTCCCCTTGCTCTTCCCTCATCCCTCTGGCCCTGTTCCCTCTCCCGGGGACCCAAACACAGGGTCAGGCTCAGAGGGCAGTTAGGAGGACTGGCTCCAGACCCTGCTCTACCTCCTGTCCAGCAGGACCCCAGGCAAGTCACAGTTGTAGGAACAAAGTCTGGGAGGGATCGGAGACTGCAGAGTGGAGCCCCTTGTGTGCCCTTAGATGGACCATGCACCCCTTCTGGTCTCTCCTCTTTGGTCAAGGTGTTTATGATCTTGAGAGACAGAGAGAGGGAGTGGCCTGCTGACCCCTGATTCTGGGCAGGACCTGCCCTCACCTCGTCAAGTGAAAATCTCTTACCTCCCCATAAACCCAGAAGAAGTGTCACGGTTTCTTTCTGTAAGCCCATTAATTCCCAACCCAAATGTGTGTGTGTGTGTGTGTGTGTGTGTGTGTGTGTGTGTGTGTGGTCATTCAGTCACAGTCATAAATTTGGAACCCAGTGGGATCTTAGAGGTCATTTAGCCTACGAATCTCACTATAGAGATAAGAACCTGCAATCCAGGGAGAGTAAGGCCTATTCACATTCTGGTCTGGGCCTAGGACTGGGAGGAGGGGAGAGCAACAACCATGACTGGGCCCTACGTGTGCTGTGCATTCCTTTTGAGCCAGGGAGGAAGAAGGTGTACCTGTCAGAGCCCCGGGGGGCTGGGGTGGGGGGTGGGAGGGGGTGGAGGTTGGAGTTCAAGCTGTGGGTCCTGGTGGGCAGTGGAGCTCCCCTAGGCAAGGACTGCATTTTGTCTACGGTGACCACGATGCCATGTCTTACGAGGTCCAAGGTGCCATCAATTGTATGAGGCACCACTAATTAGTATTGCAAAAATGCTTTCTTGGTGATAGATTGTGGTAACAGTTGCACAAAAATGTGTATGTACCGAACACCACTTAACTGTGTAGTCATAAATGGTTAGAATGGTTTTATGTTATGTGTGTTTTGCCATAATGAAAAATAATTTTAAAAAGCCAAGAAGGAAAATGACCCGAAAAATGCTTTCTTACCAATTTTGGTTTGTATCTAATGAAAGAAATCTTTCGGATTTATTTAGATATCAGGTTTTTTTTTAAGTCAAAATCACTCTTTCACAATTATCGAAAAGGAAATGATTGGTGAAACAAAATGTCTTCACATTCGGAGTCCACATTTCTTAAATTTCTTTTTGATTCAGAGTGCTCAGGGCTTTCCTACACGGCATCACCCTCTGTGCCATCAGGAGTGTAGTGACGTACCATTTCCTACAAGAGTGTCGCGATCGTGTCCAGAATTTCTTTCCAAGCTTTAGACACTCCTTCCGTAGGCTTTGCCACACGTGTTTTCTTGCTTCACACGTGACTGGCAATCATTTGGCCCTGGTCTCAGTGATCAGACATAACACAGTTTCATCTACCTCTGGGGCTCTTTCTTTCCTAGGTCCTATAAGACACCTGGCTGTTGTTTCGTGAGAAAATATGAGTGTGTGTCATCTGCTGGTGGCCCGAAGGAGGGGCTGAGACCCCGGAAAAGCGGAGTTAGGAGGAGGGTGTGTGTGGGGAGCCGGGCCAGCAACGATGCGCCACGAGGCAGCGCAGGGACAGAATTCAGGACTGGTGCTGTCTGCCAATTGACATAAGGTGTGTTTCCTGCTCTGAGCTGAGCTGCAAATGCCCTCCATTCTCCCCACAAGGTCAGTAAAAGTGGGTCACGCTCCACAGCCTGTGAGGCTGGGACTTCAGGGAATGAGGGAAAAGGGACAGGGCCAATCCATGGTCAGGTGAAGTGGGACAGAGCGAAGAGAGCAACTGTGGGCAGCAGTGGCGGGAGGGGTGGGAGACTGGGGCTCAGCCCTGTAGGAGGCATGAGAAGTATTGTAGGGTGTCAAGTCCGTACAGTTGGGGGACAAAGTGTAAGCCATTGGATTTCTACGTAGGGTTACAGATAAAATACACAATGCCTGAGTATGTTTGAATTTCAGATAAATAACAATACATTTTTAGCATAAGTATATTCCAAGCAATATTTAGGACATACTCACACTGAAAAGTTACCTGTTATCTATAATTGAAATTTAACTGGTTGTCCTGTATTTTTATTTGTTAAATCTGGCAACCCTATTCTATTTGAAAGCAAAAGGGGAACCCAGAGGACTGAAGACCTGGGGACAGCTGGGTTTCAAACTAAGTCTTACAAGGACTTTTGGGGTTGAGTCTCACTAGCCCCATTTTATACAGGAGGAAACTAAGGCAGAGAGAGGTTGTAAAAGTTGTCTGAGATCACAAGTCTGGTAAATAGAGGAAATAAGCTATGGATACAGGTCTGTCGGATACAGAAGTTCAGGCTTAAAGGAATGTTGAAAAAGAAAACCAAAATCGGTGGCATCACAATTCCAGACGTCCAGCTCTGTTACAAAGCTGTCATCATCAAGACAGTATGGTACTGGCACAAAAATAGAAACATAGATCAATGGAACAGAATAGAGAGCCCAGAAACGGACCCTCAACTCTATGGCCAACTAATCTTCAACAAAGTAGGAAAGAACATCTAATGGGAAAATGGTCTCTTCAACAAGTGGTGTTGGGAAAATTGGACAGCCCACATGCAGAAGAATGAAACTGGACCATTTCCTTACACCATACACAAAAGTAGACTCAAAATGGATGAAACACCTAAATGTGAGACAGGAATCCATCAAAATTCTAGAGGAGAACACAGGCAACAACCTCTATGACCTCGGCCGCAGCAACTTCTTGCTAGACACGTCTCCAAAGGCAAGGGAAGCAAGGGAAAAAATGAACTCTTTGGGACTTCATCAAGATAAAAAACTTCTGGGGCGCCTGGGTGGCTCAGTCATTAGGCATCTGCCTTTGGCTCAGGTCATGGTCCCAGGGTCCTGGGATCAAGCCCTGCATCGAGCCCTGCTTTGGGCTCCCTGCTCGGTGGGAAGCCTGCTTCTCCCTCTCCCTCTCCCACTCCCCCTGCTTGTGTTCCCTCTCTCGCTGTGTCTCCCTGTCAAATAAATAAATAAAATCTTAACAACAAAAAAAGAAAAGATAAAAAGCTTCTGGACAGTAAAGGAAACATTCGACAAAACCAAAAGACAACCGACAGAATGGGAGAAGATATTTGCAAATGTCTTATTAGATAAAGGGCTAGTATCCAAAATCTATAAAGAAGTTATCAAACTCAACACCTGAAGAACAAGTAATCCAATCAGGAAATGGGCAGAAGACATGAACAGACATTTCTCCAAAGAAGACATCCAAATGGCCAACAGACACATGAAAAATGCTCCACATCACTCAGCATCAGGGAAATACAAATCAAAACCACAATGAGATACCACCTCACACCAGTCAGAATGGCTGAAATTAACAAGTCGGGAAATGACAGATGTTGGCGAAGATGCAGAGAAAGGGGAACCCTCCTACACTGTTGGTGGCAATGCAAGCTGGTGCAGCCACCCTGGAAAACAGTGTGGAGGTTCCTCATAAAGTTGAAAATAGAGCTACCCTATGACTCAGCAACTGCACTATTAGGGAATTACCCCAAAGATACAAATGTAGTGATCCGAAGGGACACCTGCACTCCAATGTTTATAGTAGCAATGTCCACAATAGCCAAACTATAGAAAGAGCCCAGATGTCCATCAACAGATGAATGGATAAAGAAGATGTGGTCCATATATACAATGGAATACTACTTAGCCATAAAAAAATGCAATCTTGATATTTGCAATGACGTGGATGGAACTAGAGGGCATTATGCTAAGCGAAATAAGTCAATCAGAGAAAGACAATTATCATATAATCTTGCTGATATGTGGGTTTAAGAAACAAAACAGAGGATCATAGGAGAAGAGAGGAAAAAATAAAACAAGATGAAATCAGAGAGGGAGACAAACCGTAAGAGACTCTTAATCACAGGAAACAAACTGCGGGCTGCTGGAGGGGAGGGGGGTGGGGGATGGGGTAACTGGGTGATGGATGTTAAGGAGGGCATGTGATGTAATGAGCACTGGGTGTTATATAAGACTGATGAATCACTGACCTCTACCTCTGAAACTAATAATACATTATATGTTAATTATTTGAATTTAATTAAAAAAAGAAGTTCAGGCTTTACCTCCATTGATTGGTTGCCTTTGTCCTCCAAACCCCACTTCAAAGGCCAGGCAGTCCTAATGGCCAGGGCCAGGGTCTAGGCAGGGACAATTGCAACTCAAGCTCTCTCCATCCCATGGGGTGGGGCCCAGGGATCTCACCTAGCTTCGCAGAGTTCCCTGCTGCCCACAAGACAAGGCAGGACCTTGAGTTTGGCACATCCTCCTTCCAAACCCATCATCTCTGGGTCCTGATAAGTGTGGTGCCCTCTGGCTGGGACACGTGTGACCAGCACTTTCTCGTGGCTAACTCTTCCTTGAACTCTGGGCCAGGGGCTCGCCAGCCTTTCTGACAGAGGCCTGCAGGAAGACACACACCTGATACCCTAGTCCACAGACATGACCTCAATAGGTAGATGGATAATATAGATGTAGATATGGTTATAGATAGCTAAAACTTATATTTCCCAAACAATATTTCCTCATTCTGGAGGCTTTAAAATCCTATTCTATTTCACTGAAAAAGCAATTTAGGTCACAACTACTAAATTGATTTCATGACCCACTAATGGGTTACCACTCACAGTTTGAAAAATACTGCTTTTGATCCTGGCTCAAAAGTCACTTTCTCATTGGGGAAGACTTCCCGTAGCCCCAGTAACACACACTTCTAGGACCACCCCATGGTGTGCCTTGCCCTTTCGTATCACTCAGAGGCTTGTAATGATCTGCTCATGTCTGACTCCTCTCCTGGACTGTGAACTCCCAGACCGCAGGGACCCTATCTGGGTTTGCTCCCCGTTGCCCCTCCGGGGCCCAGCACAAGGCCTGGCATATTATACGTACTTGATAAATGCTCATCAAGTAAATAAATGAGCAAAACCATCAGCTATTGTCCCTCCAAGCCCCCCTGTCCACCTTCCCTGCACCCTGTCCCACACCCTCTATGTTGCAGCCACATGGCATTCTTTAGGGACCTGATTTAGGAGAGAACTCAGAGCTTGGGTGGAAAGGGGGAGTGTGCATTTGTGCTCTGGTGGGGTCAGGAAGGGTCAGGAACAAGTTTGTCCTCATTTGAAAAGGATCAGGTGTGAGTAAGGGGCTGGGGGCAGGGAGACATTTTAATAACCCTGCCTCATGAAGTAGGGAGTTCCCAGTCGCTTGGGGGAGTCCCACAAAAGCTGAGCGAACACCGGGAAAGCTGGGGCAGCAGGAGTTGCTGCATGAGGGGGGAAGGCTGGACAAACTGCCTAATGGGGACCAATACGGCTAGCTCTGCAGACTGGAGAAGCCCAGGCTGCAAGCTAATGAAGCCTCCTAACAGGGGGCAGCTGGGAGCCATTGTGAGTACTAGCAGCAGGGAGACCAGCGGGGGCGGGGGGCTGCAGGAGGGCATACCGTTCCTCCCTTGACTGAACTCTTAGTCCCTGGCTTCATCCCCCATGACATCTGGGGGAGGCAGCCAGGCTGGAGGCCCCAAAGAGCCAAGGGTGCCTTTTTTTTTTTTTTTAAGATTTTACTTATTTGAGAGAGAAAGTAAGAGGGGGGCAGGGAGGAACAGAGGGAGAAGCAGACTCCCCACCGAGCAGGGACCCCAACGTGGGGCTCAATCCCAGGACCCTGGGATCATGACCTGGGCTGAAGGCAGACGCTTAGCTGACTGAGCCACCCAGGTGTCCCTCAAGGGTGCCTCAGTGGCCCCATGGCTCCCTGGGTTTCCACCCACCCTGGGGGGCTCCTCCCACAGGGCTCGAGGGCAGAGTGGGAAAGTATTTGCCAGATGGCCAGGAGAGCCTGTGCATTTGCCCTATAGGGAGAGAGAGGGGCTGCAAATGCCAGGGCACGCCGGGGTCATTACCAGGGAAGGGGTGGTAATGAGCTGGAAGGCTTACGGGCAGCGCCCCACCACCTTGCTCACAAAGGTCACCCAAACCTGTTTAACTCCCCACTCAGAACAGCTGCAGCTAAAGCACCCTGGCTCCCGGGTGCCCGCCTCCAGTGAGGGCTCTGTGGGCTCCAGTGACTAGGTAACTTGCAGGACCCGGTTCAGACTCTGCGCCGGGTCCCTCTCCTCCCCACCGTGCCATTGTGTCCACCTTCCTCCCTCCCTGGCGCCTCACCCCTTTGTGTCCTTCCCAGGCCTCAGCCTCTGTTGGCCTCACACCTCTCCTTGAGGCCTGCCCTGCACGCCCATTGCGTGAAGTGCTGGGCTCACACTCCTCTCACCCAGTCATCTCAATTGTGTGGTGAAGTGGGTACCAACCCCATGTTAAGGATTAGAGTAAGGGAGGCTCGGGGACATTAAGCTGGCTACCACCTCCTCTGCCCCCACTCCATAGCCCCCTGCCGCACCTCCATGAGAGCACAGAACATGCTCCTGGCTGAGTGGCTAAGCTGAGGAAAGGAACTGTATCAAATTCATCTTTGTAGTCACCCTGCTTAGCACGTGATTGGCATATAGTAGACGCTCGAAAGAATGTTTCTAGAATAAACTGTTTACTCAAGGTCAAAATAGCTAGGAAGTAGCTCAGTCATAACTCAAACTCAGATCTTCCTGAATACCAACCCAGCCCCACACCCTTCACCCTCCTCCAGGAAGCCTTCCTTGACTTAATCAAGGGAGCCTCGTCCACCCCACTCCCCAGAATCCTGGGTGTTTGGTGCGTTCCTATCTCCCTTCTCCCCCACAGTCCCTGAAGGCAGGGTCCTGAGACGGCATCCCAGCCTGGTTCTGACCCCCCAGGTCTGCCCCCGGAACCCAAGAGGAGCTCTGTGAATGTGGGATGCCCAGGCTGGGTGGGGGAGGGGGGGGGCCCTGGACAGGAAGACCTCAGCCAAAACAACTGTGTTTCCTGCCTGTGGCCTCAGCCACCTCCTCGTGACCCCTGTTCATCCAACCAGATTTCCACCTGGTACTGGGCCTGCCAGCTTCTCACGAGAGCCAGCCTAGGCCTTGGTATTCTCCGGGGGTGGGTCCAGGTGGGGCACCTAATCCTCTGCTCATTTTGCTGCAATTCAATATTAGCCTCCAATTTTCATGCTCTGTTGCCATCCTACTCTCCTCCCTCTGGCCTCTGCTGGGGGAAGGGAGGACTGAGGACTCCCTATAGCACCTCTGAGGGCCCCCTGGAAGTCCCTCGGGCTGACCACAGCCCCAGGCATGCTCAGCTGAGAGCTGAGCATTGACCTTGGGAGGGAGGGACTGCTGTCCCACCAAGGGAGCAAGGCCTGGGTGTCCAGCGGCCTGGGGGTGGATCCTGACTCCACCTTTTAGGCTGCCTGGCTCTGGGATCCAAAGCCGCACAGGTTCTCCCACCGTCCAGGTAAACAAATGCCAAAGTGCCTGCACGTGGCGCGTGTTCGCTTCCCCAGGGGCTGAGGGCCCATGGCTCTGGGAAGTCCTTTCCTTATCTAACCACCCATCTTCTGGCTGCAGTGTTGGCCCATTCTCTCTGGTTCTAGCTGACGAATGTCCATTTTCTTAGGATTTTAGGGCACTTGAAACAGTTCATTTTATTTATTTATTCATGCAACAGTTACTGAGCACCAGCTGTGTGCCAACCACTGTTTTAGGCTTGAGATACGTCAGGGAACAAAACTGACAAAGATCCCCCACCCGGCAGGGCCGACTCTATGGGCCGGTTTCTCAGTCCAAGGGGCAGTTTATCAGATGGTCTTTCCCAGCCTGTTCTCCTCCACTTTTTTTTTTTTTAAGAATTTATTTATTTATCTGAGAGAGAGAGAGAATGAGTGGGGAGAGGGGCAGAGGGAGAGAGAGAAGCAGACTCCCTGCTGGGCAAGGAGCCTGATGCGGGGCTGATCCCAGGACTCTGAGATCGTGACCTGAGCCAAAGTCAGACGCTTAACCGACTGAGCCACCCAGGCGCCCCTCTCCTCCGCGTTAAACAACACGAACGACAGGACATGAAAAGAAACTGAAAATATTGGAAAATCACAGTGTCTCAGCTGTCACCTTCGCCCCCGTCTTACTGCCAAAGCTCGAATTTAAGTCGTGTCACACGAGCGCAATGATCAGTGTGTGCTGTTCCTCCAAAAGTTCGACAGAGTTCCCACGTGACCCTGCAATTCCACTCCTAAGTGTTTATCCAAAGGAGATGAAACCAGGCATCCAAACAAGAACTTGTGCACACATGTCCATAGTAACTCCATTCACAATAGCCCAAAGGTGGGAACTACCCAGATGGCCATCTACAGATGAGTGGATAAGCAAAAATGCAGTCTATTTACACAATGGAGTATGATCCAGCCATAAAAAGGAGTGAAGTACTGATACGTGCAATGACGTGGATGAACCTTTTTAGATTACTGCCGAGGGAAAGAAGCCAGACACAAAAAGCCACAAACTGGTGAGTCCACCGATGTGAAATGTCCAGAAGAGGCAAATCCATAGAGACATACAGCCGATGAGTGGTTGCCAGGGGCTGGGGGAGGAGGGGGAGGGAGAGCGACTGCTTGATGAGTATAGGGTTTCCTTGTAGGCTTAATGAAATATTCTGAAACTGGAGAGTGGTGGCAGTAACACAACACTGTGAATTTACCCAATGCTACTGAGTTGCACACTTTGAGATGGTTGAAATGGTGAAAATTTTGTGTTATGTTATTTTACAGTTAAAAAACAAAAGGGTGGCTTTTTCCGGTAGCGGAGTCTGGAGAAGACACGCAGAAATGGCACCTCGCAAGGGGAAGGAAAAGAAGGAAGAACAGGTCATCAGCCTTGGACCTCAGGTAGCTGAAGGAGAGAATGTGTTTGGTGTCTGCCACATCTTTGCATCCTTCAATGACACTTTTGTCCATGTCACCGATCTTTCTGGCAAGGAAACCATCTGTCGCGTGACTGGTGGAATGAAGGTGAAGGCTGACCGAGATGAGTCTTCTCCCTATGCTGCCATGTTGGCTGCCCAGGTTGTAGCCCAGAGGTGCAAGGAGCTGGGCATCACTGCCCTCCACATCAAACTACGAGCCACAGGAGGAAATAGAACCAAGACCCCTGGACCTGGGGCCCAGTCAGCCCTCAGAGCCCTTGCCCGCTCAGGAATGAAGATCGGGCGGATTGAGGATGTCACCCCCATCCCCTCCGAAAGCACCCGCAGGAAGGGGGGTCGCCGTGGTCGCCGTCTGTGAACAGGATTCCTCAAATTACTGTTTTCTGTTAATAAATTGGCTTTGTGTGAGCTAAAAACAACAACAACAACAACAACAACAAAAACAAAAGGGTGTGCTGTGTGGGACTTCTTGCCCCATGTATTGCTTCTACTCCCCCCCCCCCCCCCCCCCAGGGCCTTTGCACATGCTGGTCCTCCTACCTGGGATGCTCATCCTCCTGTCTTCTTTTAGTTCATCCTTCAGCTCTCAGTGTAACTGTGACTTCCACAGAGAGGATCAAGCCCCCTATTACATGCTTGACCACCATGCGCCACCCTGGTGGAGCACTTGTCTTGGTCATAATTATGACGTTTATATGATGAATGTCTCCCCTACTAGACTGTAAGGTTCTGGTAAGAAAGGGGAACCTGTGTGTGGTTGGCTTCCTGATGTATCCCTAGGACTTAGCCTCGTGCCTGGCATACCGTAGATGCCCAATAAATGATTATTGAGTGCATAGATTAATAAATGTTCCTAAGGGAAATCTAATCAAGTCATTCCCCCCAGCAGTCCCAGCTCAGATGGTTTCCCCATTACTGCCACTACCACACTGAGCCTTCATGGCCACCACAACTCATCCAATCACCACGGACAGTCAGGATGAGGCTGCAGGAACCAGATATGGCAAGGAGAAGGAACAGCCACACTCCCGGGTAGCTTAGGAGGTAAGACAGAGTTGGTCAATAAGGGTGGAGTGCAGGTGCAGTGCAATCACTGGTATTCGGATGAGAGAAGTCAGGTGGCAAGTGGGCCATCTGTCCGAGTTGGACTCGTGAACGCGAGTCAGTCGGGGCTGTCTCAGTTGGGCTTTCCAAGAAATGGTTGTTGAACGAATGTGTGAAAGAATAAACTAAGAACCTGCAGGTTAAGTGCTGGGCACTTAACAAGAGCACAAAGGTGGGTTCTGGGCACATTAGAGAATAGCCTCCAGGGGACTTGGTGGGTGGTGAGATGTGGGGTCGAGGGAGGGACGAGAACAGAGAGACTCCAGGGGTATAGTTGGGCCCTGCTGCCCTTCACCAAGATGGGGAGCCCTGGAGGGGGAGCAGGTTGGGAGAGAAATGATGAGATGGGTCTGGATGTTGAGGTGCTTCTGGGATGGCTCGAAGAAGTTTCTGGGGGAGTTGCAGAAGCCAAAAGCAGTGGGTAGGAGCGAATGGGAGAGGAGACAGAAGGGGAGGCCAGAGGGGATTTCAGGGCTCATGGGAGGAGCTGGGGAAGAATACGCAGTTGGAGAGAGGGATGAGGGAGGGGATAACAGATGGTGCTCCATGCCCAAGGAGGGAGGAGGTGGGATCCAGCCTCCAGGCTAGGCCTTGTCAGGAGGGGGGAAATGTGTGTTTCCGAAGAAAGAAAGGCAGGGTATGGGTGGGATGTTGCAACGTGAAGGTGCGTGGCAAGAACTTGAGGGTATTGCTGTCTTAGCACTTCTGCTTTCTTTGCGAATGAAGAGGCAGGTCGGCTGCTCAGAGGGGCTGGGAAACGTGGAGGCCAGAGGGCACTGGAGAGGCTTTGAAAGAGCTACAGTGCAGAGCTGAGAGAGGACCCGTGGGGGGCCGTGGAAAGGGCCTGTTTGAGTAAGAGGCCAGGATCTCCTTGGGGGCTTGCTGCTCTCCAGCTGGATAGGCAGCCCAAGGCATGGAAGCCGGGAAGGCAGCCGGCTCATCAGCCCAGCGGGTGCCGGGAGGGCACAGTGGGCAGCCAGGCAGGGGCTGGGGAGGGTGTGAAGGCCAGGGGCCCTTGGGGCAGGAGGAGAAGGTAGAGGCCGGGCAAGGTGGCGGTCTAGGTGAGCGGGACTCTGGGACAGGAGGCAGGAATGAGGGAGTGAGAGTCAGAAGCACAGAGGGATGTGGCCAATGAACCAAGTGTTTAAGCTTTGAGACACGTAAGCGTTTTAGGAAAGACAAGCTCTAGGCCGTGGCTATGGGAGGGACTGACTGAGGTGGAGATGAGGAGGCCTTTGGGTTTGAGAAGGTTAATGGACAGAACAGAGGTGGATCTTCCCCACACAGGAAGAGAGCTGGGCTTCCAGCAGGTGGAGAGGAGGTTTAAGGACGAAGCTGAGGAAACAGGAAGGCTGGGGAGGGAGAGAGGGAAGAGAAGCAGAGAGACGAAAAAGCAGGGAAAGGCTGGATGGCTACATGGACTCAGCTCCAGATGGTGAAGCCTGGATACAAGACTTCCAGAACAATCCCCTCTGGGGGCCCCTGCTGCATGGGGGCAGCAGGCCTCTCAGGAGGGGTCAGCCACAGCTGGAGTTGTGTTTCTGAGGAACCCAGGCCCTCTTCTCTGGCCCCAGGGACACTCTCTTCATTCAGGCCTTCAGCATCTTTTACTCTGATCCCCCAAACAGCCAATGTATCTATCCCCTGACCCTACAGACTTCTCTTTCCAGGCCCCTTTATTCCCCAGAGCAACCTTGGCCCTGTAGTCTTCCCCAGAACCCTTCCCTGCCTGCACCCCATCCCCCGACAAAATAAACTCCACCCCGTTCCACCCCCCCCCCAAATCTTCTTACACCACACAGGCTGAGCCTGGGACTACTTGTAGTTCCCTGAACAGTCTCTGTTCTCGCTCCAGGCTGTGCACACAGTACCTTCCTCCTGAAAGGCCTTCTCCGCCTCCTGGCTGGCTCCTGGCCCCATCCTTTTCTTTCCCCAAGAAGCTTTCCCGAATGATCCAAGACTGCCCCTCTTAGGTGTTCCTAGAGTGTTCTGGGCTTTCCTTATCACAGAGCCCTCACAACACTGTAATGTTTCTGCTCTGGCCTGCCTTCCCCACCATGGATGGTACAAGAGCTGGGTCTTGGGTCTCTAACACCGGGCATAGGGTCTGGCCCGGTGTAGAAGCTCAATAAAAATGTCTTGAATGAATGTACTAGTTGGTTGAATTGGGCTGGGCTGAGCTGCTGGTGGTCTAATTAGTTCAAAGGAATAGTGTCTTGTTCCTCTTCCAATGGCATCCCTGGACAGTTGTTCGGGGGGTAGAAAGACAGTGTCTGGGATGGATCAGATTTACTGGGATGGCTTTTCACCATACGACTGTCAACCTCCCTGAAGGTCATATTGTCTGAATTACGTACGGGTGAGAATGGGGAGGGCTCGTGCCTACTCACTGAGAAAGCTCCCTGGGTGATGCTGACCCTTCGCACCTCCCAGCCTCCCTGAAACTGCTTCTCGAAGGCTGAGTTCTGGGCCATCTTCAAGGTGATAACAACCATCGCTGGGGTTCAACCAACGTGTGCTGAGTTCTGAAACCGCTGCCCTTAGCCTCCACGCCATGTTGCCTTCACCACGACCACCACGGCCACTGCCCCCCTAGAGAATTTCTGGTTACCTCATTCCTGTAGGGGTGACTCTTTGGGTGCTCCGTACACCCTCATCCTGCCCAGAATCCTGCATGGAGACTGTCTGAGCCAAATGACCCCCCACAACACCTCGCTCCGTTTAGCTCTGCCCCCTCCTCCTTCCAGTCACGTCTTTGCCAAGAAACTCTCTTTGACCAAATTCTACCCCTCCCAACTCCCTCGCTGCCCCCAGCTCTGGACAGATTCTGATCTCTTGTGGGTGTGGTGCTATACCCCATCAGTGAGAGCGAGTCCTGTCCTCAAGCAGGCTTCATCCCATCCTGGGGTCATGGACAGAAACGGGGGCAGGGCTGGAAAGTAGAGAGCTCTGGGGGGTGCACAAAGTGGAGTGAGGCCCCAGAGCCTGAGTCCGAGCAGCCAGGACTGGAGGAGGAGGCAGTCCCTGAAGGAGGCGGCAGGTCACAGTCCTGAAGAGTACACTGGAATTCTCTCCCCAGACTGGCGGGGGCTGCCTGGAGCTGCAGAGGGCAGTTAGCACAGTGCCCCAGGGATTCACGCTCCATCAGCACCTTCAAAACAGTCCCCGGGAGCAATGTGAGTCCCGGGCCCCTGAGGACTTGTCTAGCTGTGGACACAGAGTGGGTTTGGGGGTGGAGGTCACCCTGGGAAGGAGGCCCTCCTCAGGGGAGCACGGCCCCACTCCACAACTCTGCAGTCAATTCCAGTGGGAGCTGGGCAACGCCCAGTCCCTTGGCTCATGAGAGCCGGAAGGAAAGCTGGTGAGGGCCTGTCTCATCAGTGGTTCCTGCATCCAGGGCTGCATGAAGGCTGGGATGGGGGTTCTCAAGCTCTTCACTATAATTCATCAGGTGCACCAGGCTTTGAACATTTCCCTGACATGAAGCTGCCATCAAGTAACTCAGCCATAAAGAGCCTTTGCTTTTTCCTGGAATTCCATCAAGCCGGGTTGGCACCGCTTTCTATCTGCTACAGATCTGAGTCTGCTCCATACACCTTCCATTAACAAAAAATGAGGAAACAAATTAATCATTACTTACATGTGGTCCAATCGGTTGGAAACATTTTTCAAAGCATGACGTCCATGGCACTAGCAGGGGGTAGGAATAGATAACTGAAGGTGTCTTTGATGGTGAAAAGGTAGGATATTATTATCCATGCCAACCCTACAGAGGATGCAGCTGAAGTCCAGAAAAGGAAAGAGATTTTCCAAGGTGGCACAGCTGATAAATATCAAATTCGAATCCAAGTTTCCAACTCCCAGACCAGAGCACTTTCCACCAGGCCACCTGCCCTCTCCCTCTTCCCAGGGAGAATAGAGACTATCCCCCAATACACATGATCGGCTCCATTTTACATTTGTGGGTCCCTATTCCTTATGAGAGTCAGTCTTTCAAACACCCTCTTTAGAGTCCTTGACCAAACTATTTATTCAAGCATGGTGCCCCTAGGCAACTGTATTGTATTGCATATTTAGTTTTTTTTAAAGATTTATTACTTACTTGAGAGAGAGCACGCACAAGCAGGGAGAGCAGCAGAGGGAGAGGGAGATATAGAATCCCAAGCAGACTGCCTGCTGAGCAAGAAGTCCAATGCAGATGCTGATGCCAAGACCCTGAGATCCTGACCCGAGCCAAAACCAAGAGTCCACGCTTAACCCACTGAGCCACCCAGGCACCCCTATTATATTGCATATTTAAATGTTGCTAAGA